TTACTTGTCTTTCTCTGCCTGGCTTATTTCATTGAGCATAATACCCTCTAGCTCCATCCCTGTTGTTGCAAATGGTAGGATTTGTTCTCTTCTTACGGCTGAATAATATTCCATTGTGTATATGTACCACATCTTCTTTATGCATTCATCTACTGATGGACACTTAGGTTGCTTCCATTTCTTGGCTATTGTAAATAGTGCTGCGATAAACATAGGGGTGCATATGTCTTTTTCAAACTGGGCTGCTCTATTCTTAGGGTAAATTCTTAGAAGTGGAATTCCAGGCCTCTTTGTTTCATCCTGATCTCAGATTTCATGCATGTTGTAGCTCCTCTGGGAGCCTGGGGCTGCTCTGTTCCATGGTCCTAGTCTATTCCTATTTTGATCTCCCAACCAGTCATTTGCTGAGTTGAGGCACTGTTCCCAGACAGAGTAGGCACTCAGTAGTTAGTAATTGGATGGATGGGGGGAAATGACTTGGAGGAAGAATAGTCGGGTGGGTATATGAAGCAATGGAGCGATGGTGGATGGATGAACTGATGGTCGGATGAGGCATGTGCTGGGATGGATGCTCAGGTGGGTTTCATTTTGGCAGTGAGCTTAGCTTGGATCCCTTCTCTGTCACACTCCAGTGCTTTGCCATGGCACCTCCGGCCACAGCCAGCCTGTCCCAGGCCCCTCCCACCTGCTGTTAGGTCTGGTGTCCCCACTCAGCTGCCTGGGGTGTGCCGGCAGGTCTTGCTACTTTCTGGCTCCTGCCATCCTCACATTTGGCCTGCCCTGTACCAGGTGCCTTCAGTAGTGCCAATCACGGTCCAGGCTGGGGATGTGCATGCATTGGGACCAGTCTGGGGGAGGCCTGGAGCAATGTCTTCAAATGCTGAAAGAGTCCCAGGGCCACCCTCCATTCTCCATTCTACTCTCCAGGCTCCTTGCCTCTGACAACTTGCTTTGCTTTTTCCTTTATGAAAAAAATAATCAAAGTCTGAATATAGCTGGTGGAGTTTCTGAAAGTCAATAGGAAAGAAGCAACAGAAAGGAGCCAGGTGAGATGGAGATAAAATTCAATGCCTGTGACTGGGGAGGGCCTCATGAAGATGAATCTTTCAAGTGTAGAACCTGGATGCTGGCCTAGAGGGAATGGAAATCTTTGAGAGGGGCACTCCCCTTGTTGTGAGCTGCTAGTGGTGCGGAGACATGCCCCCCTGGCTCCTGTGCTGCTGGCTCTTCCCAGACCAGCCTGGTTACCAAGGCAAAAGGCCTGGGCCTCACACCCCTGACGCCTCCCAGGGAAGCTGGAAGCACGACCTGGGAGGCACAGTGCACAGCCTGCTGAGACCCCTCCCCGCTGAAGCAGGCAACTCAGGGGTCTTGTTTCCAGAGGCTTCTGAGGGATTTTCTGGGTTCAAGGTCACATTTCTCTGGAACAGTCGGTGCTCACCCTCCAGATCTGCCTGTGGTGGCCTACCTCTTTGACTCTCCCTTTAAACACTCCCGCTTGACACCAGCCTTCTGCCCCAGCCTCTGCCTTTACTGCACTCCCCCGGCCTTCCTGCCTGCAACCCCAGGACACAGCCCCCAGGTGCATGCGTGAGATAAGGTCGCTCCTCGGGCTGAATGTTCTAAAGCAGAGTTGAAGCCCTCAAGAGCTCCTCACCACTAACGAGGCACAAGTGACATCATTCAAGGCCCTTCCACCCATAGGCCCTACCTCAGTGGTGGTTTCTTCACTTTTACTTTCATTTTATCTTGTTACTCTTATTTTATTTTATTTTATTTTATTTTATTTTATGGAAGTCAAAGTTGCATAACCTAAAATTAGCCACTACCCATTTCAAAATGTACAATTCATTGCTATCTAGTACATCACAATGTTCGGTGAGCATCGCCTTTATCTAGCCCCAGGACCTTGCCATCACCCCAAAGGAAAGGCCATACCAACCAGTGCTTATTCCCTGCTCTTCCTTCCCTCCAGACCCTGGCAGCCACTAGTCTGCTTTCTGTCTCTATGGATTTACCTATTTGGGGCATTTCCTATAAATGGAATATGTGACCTTTTATGTCTGGCTTCTTTCACATGGCATAATATTGCTGGGGCTCATCCATGTTGTAGTGTGTGTCAGTACTTTATTCCTTTTTGTACTGGAATAATAAAAATTCTATTGTATGTTTACACCACATTTTATTCATCCATTCATCTGTTCATGGACATCTAGGTTGTCTCCACACTTTGGCTGTTGTGTGTAGCGTTGCTATGAACCTTCACGTATGGGGTCTTGTTTTGAGTCCCTGTTTCCAGTTCTTTTAGGTCAATACCTAGGAATGAAATTGCTGGTTGTACAGTCGTTCCATGGTAACCTCTTGAGATACCACCTTGGCCGTGGTACCTTGCTCTACTTTGGGCCCACTGTGTCCTTCCATGTGCCTTTGTACATGCTGTTCCTCCTGCATAGTATGCTGATTCTCCCTTCACTTGATAAATGTCTATTCATCTTTCCAGATTCTACCCAAGCATCACGTCCTCTGTGAAAACTCTGCACCTCCTAGGTACTTGGGTACTTGGTACTTAGGTACTGATGCTCTGGGCTGCACCGTGCCTGCTGCTGGAGCTCTTCTATTGCATTGCAGTTACCTGTCTGTTTGCTCTCTCCTCTTGGCCAAACTGGGTGTTCCTTGCATGTAGAGATCCTGCCTGGGTCAAGTTCACTTCTACTGTGCCCAGGCAGGTGCTTATGAGAACTTTTATGAAGGGTGAGCTAATGGGGGTCCCTGGGTCTTCAACACACAGACACAAAAGGCTGGGTCTGCGAGTGCCCCAGAATGGCTTCCCTTGGCCTCTGGGCAGCACTAACGTTTGTTTTGCTTTCTCCAGTACTAGTACGCAGGGGTCGGCTGTTGGCTCCACGCCAGCATTATTACGCTTCGCTAGGATGGCTTTTGTTGCTCTGTGTGAGGTTTTCACTGTTGCTAGGTTGTCTTTTGTTTCATATATATATATATCTCACCGTTTTTTCCTTGGCAAGTAATCAGCACCCAATTAATTCTGAATTTCTCATTGTTTGCTCCAGCTGTCGAGCTCCTTGCATGAGCAAAGGATGATTGTTCAGTGGCTTCCCTGTAATGAACTGGGAGAGTCGGCTGGGTCACTCCCGATTTTGAGGAAAGAGACAGACAGACAGACAGATGCAGAGACACACGGAGAGACTGAGAGACGGGGACAAAGGAAGAAAGAAAGAGAGCAGGGACAGAGACACAGAGACAAAGAGGAAGGAAGGGAGAGAGAGATACAGAGAACGAGAGAGGCAGAATCACAAACATAGAGATAAAAAGATTTAGAAAGAGACACACGCAGACATCAGGCATGGTCACAGATGGACATATAGAAAGATGTGCAGAGAAACATGCTTGCACAGAGAAAGAGGGAGAAATCCCAACACAGAGACCCACAGGGGAAATTGCACTGAGACATAGACAGACACAGAAAGAGAGGGAGAGATATACAGGGACAGAGATAGAAAGACAAAGAGAGGCAGGGAGGAAGGAACAGACAGTGACTGGTTCTGTGTTGCTGTGGTGTAGCAGCCAGCTTGGTGTCGGCGTAACAATGACAAGAAGTGACATTACTGAGCACCCATCACTGATGCAAAAACAGGAGCACCTCAGGCTTTACCTCCCTCCACAATGACAACCTCCCTGGGACATAGGTGCTGTTAGCATCCAGGTTCTCCAGGCAAGGTGATCGAGGCTTGGAACTGTTATGAAGTGTGCGCACATCCACACAGTTAGCAGGAAGGCAGGATGAAGCTTTGAGCCCAGGTGTCTCTCCCCCCAAACCCCGAGCTGCTAACTCTAATGCTCTAATGCTCCCCAGAAGACCCACACTTGGGTATCAGTTCTGCTCCCTGATGGCTGTGCAGCCACAGGCAAGCCTTTTGCCTCCCAGGCTGGCCTCCTTGGGGCTGAAATGTGGTGGCTGGATTCCAGGGTCCTGCATGTGCTTGTCTTGAGTCCCAGTCCGGAGTCTCCCAGAGGCTGTTACCAAGATTCTGCTTCTGGGAATTTTCATGCCTCCTACTTCCCTACGAGCCAGTCCTTCCATATTATTAGGAAATACCTAGGAATCCTCTCCCACACTCTCTTTGCAAGTTTTCATTATTATGTCAAGTTGCAGGTTGTCTTGAACAAAGACAGAGGTAGGAGGTTCATTCCTGGAAACCAGGAATATGGTGGTCTTGGGTAGAAGAGGGTGGTTTGGAGTGAAGTAGGGACAAGAAGACCCTCCAGCTAAGATCCAGGAACAAGGGCATCCTGGGGCTCACTCTGGGGAGGACGCCCTGTCTGCTTCTATTGCAGGGTGTCAAAGAGAAGGCCTGCAACTCCTTCCTGCTTCTGAATCTGGGGCCCTGGTGGCTGTGGCTTTGCTTCCACCATCCAGAAATTGATGTTTGGCATTTCACTGTCTAACGTACAATGTACTCTACTTATTTATTGGATTTGTCTGTCTTCCTCTATAGGATGTAAGCTCCATGAGGGTATGGATTTTTGTCTTTTTTCTTTTTGAACTACTGAATCTTCAGAGCCTGGTGTCTAATAGCTCCATAAGAAATGTTTGTTGAGTGAATGAATACAAGTCTATATAATGATTCTCAGGCCCTCGGTATTGCCAGTTTGCTGTGCTTTTGGCTGGGGCTGGGTGGAGGCTTCTGTGGAAGCTGGAGGACCCTCCCGGTTTCGTTCAAGAAAAATGGAACAGAAGCTGCAACGAGCTTTTGAGCAGTAACATTCGATTTGTGTTTTGGAAAGATGACCATGGCAGCCATGTGGTGGGCAGACTGGCAGGGAGGGGTGCTGCTCAAGGCCAGAGCACTAAGAAGGAGAGGCTGCTATTATCTGACACCCAGAGATATCGGGACCTGCAACAGAACTGTGGAAATGGGAAAATGCTGTGAACTTCAGCAAAACTGTCAAGCTCACCAACTTTTTTTCTTCTCTGTTTTCAGTTAAAGATCTTGCTTGCTTGACTGGTTTTTCCAAACTCCCAGAGCTCCCTGCAAGGCAGCCAATATGGCATTATTGTCATTTGGGGAACAGTAAACCTTTGAAAAATGCCTTTTGCGTTCTGGATTTATGGAAACCGTTTGAACTGTGGTGAGTCTTGAAGAGCACTTCGAAACACAGTGTTTTGATTTTCTCAATAATTTCTTGAAGATCATTAGAAATGAGAATTCGAGAGCTGGGATGGATTTTTCCCATAGGTGGCATGCTTGTCAAGAAGCATGATTTATCTGGGCACTTCAATAAGGACTCACAGAGCAGTGCTGAGGCAGCTCGTTCCTGAGACTGCAGGTTCGCCCAGATCCAAATGCCAAGAGGAGTGGGCGGGAGCCTGTCTCAAGAGTGGGACATGCTGCAGCTCAGCTTGCCATTAGTGGGCCATGGGCTTGTCATACCTGGGGTTCACCCACTTCCCCTCGGCTCTGCCCCCACCTCCCACCACTGCTCAAAGACAAATCATACCAGTGAAGTGTGCGCACATCCACACAGTTAGCAGGAAGGCAGGATGAAGCTTTGAGCCCAGGTGTCTCTCCCCCCAAACCCCGAGCTGCTAACTCTAATGCTCTAATGCTCCCCAGAAGACCCACACTTGGGTATCAGTTCTGCTCCCTGATGGCTGTGCAGCCACAGGCAAGCCTTTTGCCTCCCAGGCTGGCCTCCTTGGGGCTGAAATGTGGTGGCTGGATTCCAGGGTCCTGCATGTGCTTGTCTTGAGTCCCAGTCCGGAGTCTCCCAGAGGCTGTTACCAAGATTCTGCTTCTGGGAATTTTCATGCCTCCTACTTCCCTACGAGCCAGTCCTTCCATATTATTAGGAAATACCTAGGAATCCTCTCCCACACTCTCTTTGCAAGTTTTCATTATTATGTCAAGTTGCAGGTTGTCTTGAACAAAGACAGAGGTAGGAGGTTCATTCCTGGAAACCAGGAATATGGTGGTCTTGGGTAGAAGAGGGTGGTTTGGAGTGAAGTAGGGACAAGAAGACCCTCCAGCTAAGATCCAGGAACAAGGGCATCCTGGGGCTCACTCTGGGGAGGACGCCCTGTCTGCTTCTATTGCAGGGTGTCAAAGAGAAGGCCTGCAACTCCTTCCTGCTTCTGAATCTGGGGCCCTGGTGGCTGTGGCTTTGCTTCCACCATCCAGAAATTGATGTTTGGCATTTCACTGTCTAACGTACAATGTACTCTACTTATTTATTGGATTTGTCTGTCTTCCTCTATAGGATGTAAGCTCCATGAGGGTATGGATTTTTGTCTTTTTTCTTTTTGAACTACTGAATCTTCAGAGCCTGGTGTCTAATAGCTCCATAAGAAATGTTTGTTGAGTGAATGAATACAAGTCTATATAATGATTCTCAGGCCCTCGGTATTGCCAGTTTGCTGTGCTTTTGGCTGGGGCTGGGTGGAGGCTTCTGTGGAAGCTGGAGGACCCTCCCGGTTTCGTTCAAGAAAAATGGAACAGAAGCTGCAACGAGCTTTTGAGCAGTAACATTCGATTTGTGTTTTGGAAAGATGACCATGGCAGCCATGTGGTGGGCAGACTGGCAGGGAGGGGTGCTGCTCAAGGCCAGAGCACTAAGAAGGAGAGGCTGCTATTATCTGACACCCAGAGATATCGGGACCTGCAACAGAACTGTGGAAATGGGAAAATGCTGTGAACTTCAGCAAAACTGTCAAGCTCACCAACTTTTTTTCTTCTCTGTTTTCAGTTAAAGATCTTGCTTGCTTGACTGGTTTTTCCAAACTCCCAGAGCTCCCTGCAAGGCAGCCAATATGGCATTATTGTCATTTGGGGAACAGTAAACCTTTGAAAAATGCCTTTTGCGTTCTGGATTTATGGAAACCGTTTGAACTGTGGTGAGTCTTGAAGAGCACTTCGAAACACAGTGTTTTGATTTTCTCAATAATTTCTTGAAGATCATTAGAAATGAGAATTCGAGAGCTGGGATGGATTTTTCCCATAGGTGGCATGCTTGTCAAGAAGCATGATTTATCTGGGCACTTCAATAAGGACTCACAGAGCAGTGCTGAGGCAGCTCGTTCCTGAGACTGCAGGTCCGCCCAGATCCAAATGCCAAGAGGAGTGGGCGGGAGCCTGTCTCAAGAGTGGGACATGCTGCAGCTCAGCTTGCCATTAGTGGGCCATGGGCTTGTCATACCTGGGGTTCACCCACTTCCCCTCGGCTCTGCCCCCACCTCCCACCACTGCTCAAAGACAAATCATACCAGGGGACCTTCCAAGCAGCCTTCAAATCCTGTAAGATTTGGGAATTTGGGATTCAACTGCCAACTCATTATTGTAGTTCAGACCTTTCTAGTCAGTGGTGTAGATGCTGACGCTGGGAACCTGGAAGCAGGTGGGGTTAGTCAATGTCAGGGTCTGGGGTGGTACAGGCTAGGGTGGAGCAGCAGGGAGTGGAAAGAGAACCAACTTGTTTTTTGACCCTTTCTTTTCTTCTTCAAGGAGGGCTTTTAAGGGCATCTCAAAGCACATGATGAAATCTATGACTTTGCTAGCAGGTGCTGATGAGGGAGAAGGTAGTGGGTCCCTGAGACCCTGGCTAGTGTCTTAGGCTTTGCCATCTGAGGAAGCTGGATTAGCATTTCATTTGAGGCAGGAAAGGAAACCTGTCAACTTGCTGACCTCTCCGGGCCCTGCTTTCCAGCAGGTTCCATGCAAGTGTTGACGCTTGAGCCCCTGCACACACTCTGAGCATCCTGCCTCAAAGGCACATGGCTCAGACCTACTTGGATTGTAAGATCCAGCTCAGGGATCCTCCTATGTGATTTCCAGGACCCAGCCCAGCAGGGTTAGTGGCATTGCTCACCCTCTCTCTGCACATCCCGGATCACATTGTAACTGCATGTGTCTGCCTTCCCAAGAAGACTTGAGGGTATGGGAAAGACCTCACTCATTCTTGTAGCTCCAGAGCCCAGCACAGCACAGGTGCGTCATGAGCAGTGGTGGCGTCATATCAACCCATCTGGACTTGGAATGTCACAAGCCTGAGTTCAAATATTTCCTCTGCTGTTTGTCAGCTCTGTAACCTTGGGTGAAGTCACCTAGCAAGCCCTCCAGCATGCTTCCTCACCTCTGACCCTGACCTGGTGAAGGTCAAGCAGATGCTGTGTGGGAATGGGCTCTTCAAACTGCAAATGCCACACAGATAATACCAAGCTACCTACTATGTACCAGATACAGCTCTAAACACATATGTTAGCTCTCTGCATTCTCACAACCCTATGAGCTAGGTACCACTGTTATCATCCTCCCTAGCACCCAGATGAGGAAAGGCTCAGACATTAAGTCCCTTGCCTAAGATCACACAGCTAGAAACTGGGATTTGAACCCAGGGAATGTGGCTCCATTGTCCATGTGCATAACCATGATTAAGCCTTTCTGAGGATGTTGCTATATAGTGAGCATTCACTATGTGCCAAGCACTTCATTTCAATTCATCCTTTGCAGAAATCCAATCAGGTATTTCTTTCATATGAGAAATGAGGAAATCTAGATTCAGAGAAGCTAACCAACTGGTCTAAGGTAACACAGCTAGTAAATAGTACAGATGGGATTCTAGCCCATGATTTTCCTATTGCTCAGTCCTCCCCAACTCCTTGAATTTTATCGCAGGAGAAACCAAAGCCCAGAGGACAGACGTGTCTTCCCAAGGTGATGTGGCAGATAGGCCGTGGAGCTTGGATGTAAACAGCTTCAGGTAACTATTGCTCTGTAACAACCACCCCTTGCCCAACCTTAGCAGCTTAAAACTACCCTGACTTTCACTTTTTCATGATTTGCTGGATTGGCTGGGCTCATGCCTGCAGCTGATGCAATGGCTCTCAAGGGTCCACGCTGGCCTCGCTCACTGGTGGGGTGGTTGGTTCTGGCTATGGGCAGGGCTCCTCCATGTGGCCTCTCACCCTCCCACAGGCAAGGTGGACTCCCTGGCGTGGTGGTCTCAGGGCAGGAAGGGGGTGAAAGCCGAAACTGCGAGGCCTTGTTAAGTTTGGCACAGGCAGCTCTCGCACTGGGTTCCTTTGATCAAAGTGCGTCACAGGCTGCCTGGACTCAAGGGGGGGGGATGTAGACTCCGCCTCCTGCAGAGGGTCCCTGCAGCCACACTGTGAAGGGCACAGAGGGCAGGTGGGCCCTGTGAGCACGACCTCCTGTAGCTCTCTGATGCCCAGTGGTGCTCCCTCCCTCCTGTTATGAAGCTGGGCTTTTCCTTTCCTCTTTAGCTGAGGCTGGTGTTAGGTCACTGTGCTGGATAACATGGTTTAGTGGGGGGAGTCCATGGCTTGGGGACAGACAGGCCAAGCCCCTCCCTGCAACTTGTCTCCCCCTTTCCAATTCTGGGACAATGGCCACTTTTGGCCTTGGCTGTTTATCCCTGTGGGTTTGGTTCACCTTTGGCCTCTGCCCTCTGCACAGCTGGGCTTGGAGGGCATTGCTGGTTCAGATACTATGATCTGGGATGACCCAGCTTCACCTCTGGGGCTTTTGACCCACGTTTTGGTCCTTGCTGCCATTTTCTTTGCAAGCACGTTTCCCTGGCAAACCTCCAAAGGCCTGAAGTGACAGAATATTCCCAGCTAAGTGGGAAAACTGTACCTGGAAGCACCAGTGATGGACATGAGTGTCCAGGGTAAGTAAGTGTCCAATTGTAAGTAAGTGCAAATCTTGGTTTGCTTTTTGCTTTTGAGGCTGAGAGGGGACTCTGGCCCCAGGAAGAGAGCCAGCAGCAGACGTGCTCCAAGCTCACCTAGAGACAGGTTCAGAGGCACACACCAAGTGAGAAAGACCATGTGTCAGGACAGGTTTGTCCTGTGAGGGGTGTCCTCTTTTGGGGGTCGAGGGTGAGAGAGAAGGCATGTAATGTATGAATTCATGACACAAAATAAAATAGGGAAGCAATTCCTCTTCTGGGTCCCAAAGAATTGAAAGAAGGGTCTCTGAGAGATTTGTACACCCATATTCATAGCAGCATTATTCATAATCCAAAAGGTGGAAGCAACCTAAGAATGAATGGATAAACAAAGTGTGGTATAGATGCATACGCGTGTGTGTGCTTGTACACATGTGAGCACAGTGGAATATTATACAGCCTTAAAAGGAAGGAAATTTGGACACACTGCAGCGTGGTTGAGCCTGGACGACATGATGATGAGTGACACACCCAGTCCCACGAGGACAATCACTGCACGACTCCACTTGTATGAGGGGCCTAGTGGAGTCAACTTCACAGAGAGTGGAACAGAATGGCGGCTGTGAAGGCCTGGGGGAAGGGGAATGCGGAGCTTGTGTTTACTGGGTACAGAGTTTCAATTTTGCAGGATGAAAAAGTTCTGGAGCTTGATGGTGGTGAGGGCTGCACAATGATGTGAATGCACTTGACGCCACTTAACTGTACAGTTCCAAATGGTTAAGATGGTAAATTTTATGTTTTATGAGGATTTTACCACCATTAGGGGAAAAAAAAGACCCTTAGAAGCTCAATAGGAAAAAATTGGCTGTGGAGGAGGGTGCGTGGCAGGATGCAGGGCTGCGGGTCTGGGCAATGTGCAGTATGTGGAGTGGAAGGAGTGGAAAATTTCCCTGGGCAACAGGAGAGAGAACACAGGCAGAGGAGGGCTCAGGGGGCACCGAGCAGGTAAGAAAGACAAGTCCCAGCTGAAGCCGAGTTCACATTCCTAGTGTTGAGCCCCAGGGGGCCGTGGGGAATGAAATATGTGTTTACATCAAAACCACTGTTTCTCAGAAGAAAGAAAAAGCAAGGACTACAGACATTTCCTTCTCCAACTTTGTTTATCTGGCATTAAACTTTCAACAGTATATAAACACTTTTTGGGGGAAATCAGGCATGTAAGTATGTTTCTACCAGAATCCAGCAATAAAAATCAGCGACCACCTTGTGCCCTGCAGGGACTCTTGCCTGTAGGGTGCGTCCCTCTCTGAGGTGCCCCCCTCTGAGATGCTCCTTAACCAGGGGGCTTGTCTCCTTTGTTCTGTGAGGGGTCTCATCACAGGGCAGCAGGAGGTCAATATTTAGCATCTCTTTGCCTTCATCAATGCGGCTTATAATCGGCATGTTTCTGTCTGCTCTTTCTTCATATGAAGATTAAATGTGTTTTAAAGAGTGTCCATTTAAAGACTAAAACAAAAAATACCTTGGCAATGAGGGGAGTTCAGGAAGCACAGTGTCCAGTCCCCCCGAGAAGGGGACTTGCGCTAGAAGGGTGTCATGTGCTCTGCATCTGGCCTTCCTATAGTGTCCTTAGTCTGCCAGCTCAGCCCCCTGACATGTTGGTGGGACTTCTAAAGCATCACTTTATTCCAACAAGCATAGAGGTTATGCATGATTTGAGAGGTGGGCAGATAATTGCACAGGAGCCTGGAAGAGTGTGGATTACCTGGTCGGGATTAAGGAAGTAACCCTGGGGACAGCGCCTGGCAAAGAGGGAATGAGGACGAGCGTCTGTGAACACCTGCTCTGTGCTGAAACTCTGGTAGGTGCTTTTCATGGCTGTGGTACGTAATCCCCATAAGAATCTTGTGAGTTAGGAAACAGTGGTCTGCTATGGCAGTCAGAACTGAGGCCCCAACTCTACACTGTTAATTAGTTGGTGAAAGGGGATTTGAGATTAGCCTGGATGCCTGCAGAGTCAGCGGCTTCTCAGTGCATCACATTCATGCTGCTTCTGCGCTGGTGGGAGAGTCTTCAGGTCGACTCTGTTCTCTGGAAGAATGGGAGAGGAGACATGAGGAAGGGAAGGGAGGAGAGGCAGGGAAGGAAGAGGAAAGAGAGCAGAGGAGAGACGAGGTGCAGAGAGATGTGCCAGGTCTTCAGGGAGGCCAGTGCCCAGGGGTCAGAGGGAGGCATGGGAAGCAGACTGAGGGTGGAGGCCAGGGAGGCCAGGGGCTCAGCACAAGGAAGGTCAGGTCAGGCAAAGGTGAGAAGGAAGTGATCACAGTCAGACGCTGTGCTCCTCCGCAGAGGGGAGGAGGATGCTCAGAACAAGCACCTCCAGACTGACCCTGGGTGGCCTCGGCCCTGGAGAGCTGGGGAGGAATCTGGGCGGTGGCCCAGGGCAGATGCTTGGGGAGGGGACTGTGTCAGAGTGTCCCCCAGGGGCTCCCGTGAGGACTCACACCAGGGTTCTGTAGGCAATGTCTTTATGTGCAAGTTATTTTTGCTGTTAACCCACGTGCTTGTGCCTGGTAATTACAGGGTAAAAGGAATTAAGAAAGACATAATTCCTCCCCATCAAAGCTCGACTGGTTTACATCTCTACCTCACACTGGCAGCTAGGCATTCAGCCTTCACAGGTGCCACTTTGATTTCAGTCACGTAGGAAAGGAATTTGAAACACTTTCAAAGTGATTAGAGAGAGGAAGTGATTGCGAATTTGGGGTAAATGCAATAATCACATTAACTGTTTATGGCCATGGGGCGTTCAGGAAGGGAGGCTCCCCTCCCAGCTGGGCCGTGGGGCTGGGGCTGCTCAGGGTGGGGGTGGCAGTGGCCACCGTGGCATTGCAGGTGGGCTGGGACCAGCTAATCATGACATTAATTGTTATTATTATCACTATTACAGCTGCTGTGTATTGAGCATTTACCACTCTCCCAATGTTCTTCCCTTTAACCTTTGCTGAAGCCCATGAAGTGGGCATTATGATCCTCATAGTAAGGAAGCCACGGTTTGGAGAAGTTTATTCTCTTGTTCTGGATACATGCCTGGGAAGCCCCAGAATGGAATATGGAGTCAATCCTGTCCTATTTTAGACACCACTCAGCTGCTGTCTATGGCATCCCAAGGTCTCTTTTTCTTTTTTTTTCACATTTAGCAAAACAGACCCGGACTGGATCCTAGCTGGTTATTTCCCCGGTGCTCCCAGACATGAGGGAACTCGCGTGCTCCCCTCCTGCACGGAGCTCGTGGCTCCAAAGGCCTAGGGAGGGTGGTACAGAGGCTGGAAGCGCTGTCCCGAGGAAAGACGGAGAGAGTTCAGGCGAAGAGCCAGGTGACCAGGTCCGTGAGGAGGGCCCGGGAGAGCTGACGTGATGTGGCTTCCCCTTCCTCTCGATGGCATCCTGCCTTGGCCACAGTGACGGCATCTCCATTCTCAGTGGTGCTGAACTCTGGCTGCCAGTTCAGGAGCCCTTCCCCAACCCATATTCTCCCCATACTGGGGTAAGATACACACATCTGTCTCCTTCACTGATGTGCCCAAGCACCACCGTTTTCTGGAATGAGCAGGAATCTTGAGTGCCTTCATAGAGAAACCTCAGTTGTGCCCCTTTCAACTCTCTCCGTGGGCTGCCCTGCTGCCCCCTCTCCTGATGCATGACCTCCAGGAGGCTCCCCACTTCTCTGTCCACACTTGGATCATCAAACATCTTCCGGTCATCCTAGCCCCCAGGACAGTCTCAGTTTTGTAATTAGAATGTCCAGTCTGGAGTGATACCCAAAGCTTCAAGCTGCATTTAAAACTCACAGTCAGAAAAGGGAGTCAGGGGAGATGTTTCTCTCTTGACTCTCTGTGTTAGTGTCCAATTGCTGCTGGAACAAATTATCATGAACACAGAGGCTTGAAACCATGCAAATTTATTATCTTATGGCTCTGGATTTATTATTTTACAGGTCAAAAGTCCAAAATGGGTTGGCAGGCCTGCATTCCTGGCGAAAGCTGTATGGGAAAATCGTTTCCTTGCCTTCTCCAGTTTCTCGGGGCTGCCAGCGTTCCGTGGCCTGTGGCCCCACACCCTCCAACCTCTGCCTCCATGGTCAAGGCTCCTTCTTGCTGGTGCATATACTTTCCTGACAGGGAATTGCCTAATTTTTAGCATCTTATAATGTGAATAGACTGAGATTTCCCCACATCATTCCTCTTAACAGTTCTTCCCTCGATTTCTCCCTTTCCCCTGGTATTTTACTATAAGCAGCAAGAAGAAAGCTGGCTGCACCTTCAGCACCATGCTTGGAGATCTCAGCTAAACATGCAGGTTCATTACTTACGAGTTCTGCTTTGCACAGAACTGCGGTACACCGTTCAGCTGAGCCGTCTGCCCGGATATAACAAAGGCCCTCTTTCCTCCAGTTTCTGATAACACTTACATAATTTCTTCCTGAGCCCTCACCCATAGCACCTTTAACGTTCATATTTCTGCCAACGGTCTGTCCAGGATGATTTCCATGTTCTCTAAGACGGCACAGGGTTCCTCACCGCGCTCCCCACTGCCTTTAGGCCCTTGCTGCCAGAGTCTTTCACATCCATGTTTCTACTGACAGTCTGGTCCAGACCATCCTGGTTTTTTCTATCACACAACGCAATATTCTTCTATCCTCTGCCCACAGTCCAGTCCCAAAGCCGCGTCTACATTTTTGAGTTACAGCAGCACCCCACTTCCAGACCCCAACGTCTGTATCAGTTAGAGTTTGGAAACAAAGGCTGAAGTCTGCAGAGCAGGCTGTCGGGAGGGCAGAGTGGGACCTGCTGGCAGGAGCACTCTGCTCTTCGTAGCAGAATCTCTTTTTCTTTAGGGAAGCCTCAGCTCTGCAACTAAGACTTTCCACTGACTGAATCAGGCCTGCTCAGATCGCCAAGGACAATCTCCCTTACAGTATGTGGACTTTAAGCCCATCTACTAAATACCTCCACAGCTAACCCTAGATTAGTATTTGATTGAATATTTGGGGATTACTGCCTAGCCAAGTTGACACATGAACCTGACCATGATACTTTCCCACTCTCCCATCCTCATCCCACTGGCTGATGAGGCGCCTGAGTGGGCCAGAGGTGTGGGCTGGGGCAGGAGACGAGATCAGCGGGCAGGAGTGGTCTTCACCACTTGGGAGGGTTGTTTCCAAAGGCAGTGATTTCCTTTGGTGTTGGCTGCTGTTCACAGCTGACCCTTTCTCTCCTGGGTGCTTTTGAGAGCTCTCAGACCCCTGGTACCTTCAACCTTTGTTGCATAATGTGGCATAACCAATGGCTCCGAGACTCAGTGGCTTAAACCCAGCATTTACTCTCATGGTCATAGACCTGCAGGTTGACTGGTTCTGCTGATCTAAACCAGGCTTGGTTCCTGAGTCAGCTCCAGATGGCGGGTTTAGTTCATGGCTCCTCCATATTCATTCTGGAGCCCAGGCCCAGAGTCAGCAGCACTGGGACATGGTCTTCCTGTGGATCACAGGAGGGCAAGAGGTCAAGCCTATCTGAGCAAGCGTGTTTGTAGCCCCTGCTCCAGGAGCACCTTCTGCCATAGCAAGTCACCTGCTTAGCTCAAAGTTGAAGCTGTGGCACGTGACTGCTCACCATGAGGCCACATCTAGGGTGTGACTATCATTCTGTTATACAGGAGTGAATGGTTGGGACCTATAATGCTTCCTGATGGTGGGGTCTCTCTCACCAGCCCCTCTCTGGCGGGCAGTTATTGTGGTCCCTTGGCCTCTGGTTCTAAGTGATGTCCTTCCCAACAGACTATCTCTTTGCATCCTGTTGCCCTGCAGGCATCCCTCTTGGGGATATTTAAGACTTCTCTGAGCCCATTTCACCTCAGCTCTCTACAGTGCTGCCACAGGCCACCTCCGCCAGTCTTTTGCCCTGTAGAGTTTTTGACAGTGAGTCAGATGCATCCACTGTATTCTCCAGATTCCATGGGGATGCATAGCAAGTAGTCTTGAAGCTCCTTTCACTAGCATTCCCATCCTTCTCCCAAGAGATCTCTTGGGGCCCTGTGCCTGTCTGGGGTTCCATCTGCACTGGATGGATCAATTGCCAAGTTGGGGATAATTGGCCTTCTTCCTCCAGCCACAGTCATTTTTCTCTTTCTCAGTCAAGCATGCTCCCTGTACTGCCTGCTTTCTGCTGGACACTGCATTTGTGTTTGAAGATGAGACGTTTCCTGTCAGCTCCGTTGTGCTCCACTGAGCTGGGTGTTGTGTGAGATGTTCATTAAGATTGCCTATTATTTTGGATTCCCTTCAGTTACTCAGGGCAGTTTATTCTCTTGCTGAAGGACCAGAATCTTGGCTCCCTGAAGCCTCATACCCAGAGACTTTGGCCACATAGGTAGCAGAAGATTGGGGTGAAAAGTCCTGACTGGTGGCTGGATGCCTTGTTTATACCATGTCACACAAAGGATTAGTTTGGGCAATCATAGGGGTGAGTGTGAACACTGATTACATCTGCAGGTATCAACCAAATGAAATGAAGTGTAACTATATAATGTTAGGCAAATTTAAAGGATTGTTATTTCTACTGGGCTAGATCACTACTTCCCAGAATAGAAGAGTAACCTCTGAGGTCAAATCCAAATTGCCTGTTTTCTGCTTCTGTGAATCTAAGTACAATACAAGAATGCTTTTGGCCGAAGAAGCTGGTCCTGCCAGTCAGCCATCTGTACCTCTTTACTGTTTTCCACCATTAAGCCCCCTCTGAGTGGTGGCAAGGTATGGCCCCACTGGGTAACTTGCATTTTTCACCAGTGACAAGAGGAGAGGCTGATTTCCCCTAGAGGAGGGGAGAGGGCTCATGTGCCTTCCCATTCTGCTTCTGAGGTTCAAAGATGCCATGGCTCAGCAGGCTCCATGGGACTCAACAGGGGACATTCTGCCAATGGCCTCACCTTGCCTGAACCAGCCCATTCTCCTTCAAATTCAAGGGGGAATAATCCTCACTGAAGCCTCCTCATCAAAGTGGGTATTTCTTCCTCTGGGCTGCCAATGTGTTCTGCTCCCATGCTTGCAGTGCCACTCCCTCATGGTGTTGTAGTTACTTGTGTATTTATCTGTGTCTCCTTCCAAGCTGCAAGCAACTCTGGGCCTGGCCCTGATGTATCTCTGGGTCCTCTGACTCACAGCAACAGATTAGCACATGCTGGCTGAAAGGGTGGAAACAAGAGCAGAGGAAAGGAAACACCTCCACTCCCTCTCAGCGTCCAAGGGGCCCAAACTGGACTTCCAGGTGAGGCTGAAACACAGTCCTGTTAGAGGGTTCTGTGGTGATGCCAGATGGCCGGGTGTGTGGCAGCAGCTTTGAGGTGATTAATTGGACATTTCTTTTCTTTGTTTAGGGGCACTAAAGCACCAGCCCATCTCAACACATCTTCACTTTCCTGGTGGCAAAGCAGAGATCTGGCAGAATCAACACACAGCTGATTGCCTCAATTAGGCAAAATGGACTGCTGGATAGAACATTCTGGCAGAAAAGAACTGTCCGGTCATTCCCAATGATGATCCGACTGTTTTAAAAAAATTTTTTCTACTGCATTGGAAAATTCTTTCCAATGGGACCAACCACTGGAATGTGCTGTGTCACTGTCTGAGGGGACCTGGTTTTGGGTTCATGGAAGGCAGGGGTGGACCACCCAGTGTGGTTCAAGGAAAGTCAGAGGGTAGGAGTTCTATTATGAGTTCTTGTATTGACTTGCTTTGTGACCTTCAGCAATTCTTTTTCCTTTCTGGGCCTCAGTTTCTCTATCTATAGAGTGGAGTGATCCGGAGTATGGAACCAAGCTGACTTGCCTGAGTACAGATTCCAGTTTGCTTGTTTTTAGCAGAGACCTTGGCAAAGTTATTTTTTCTGCAAAATGGGGACAATAATAGATCTCTTTCATTGGGCAGGTGAGAGTTAAGTGAGTTAATGTATTCAGAGTGCTTAGCACAGTGAGCAGCACAGGGTGAGCCCTCTGTAAATGTTTGCTGTGGCATTTTCATCATCATCATTGTCATCATCATGATCGGACTAGGTCATTGGTCCCAAATATGGGTCAGTCTCTTGACTTGGGCTGGTCTGTCAAAATGAGAACCGAGGGACCATGTGATACACACATAACACTGCCAACATTTCTTTTTTTGGAAGGCTATCCTTTTTTTTCAAAATGATGTCCTTCCTGTTCTTTTAGTGCTAAAATGTCATTCTTAAGTAAAAGACTAATAATTATACATTTTCAAAATGTCCCATCTGGCAAAACAAGAAGCTGCCTCCCATGTCAAGATTCTCAGACACCACTTAGGCCAGTTTACTTGTTCTCTGGATGAGGAGGCCCTGCCCAGAGGAAAGGGTTGTGGCTGAGGTCACGAAACACAGTGCTGAGGAGCCGAGAGATTGATCCAAGTCCCTGTTCAGGCCTGAAGTGGCTGCCTCCAAAAGAAAGGAAGGAGGTGACTATGAAAACAGAGTGAAATTCTCCTCAAATGAGCAGTATGTTCAGAAGTATAACTAGGAGAAATAGTAAAAGTTTAGGTTAACTCCACTGATACTTTACTTAGTACCAGCATTACAACAAACCAATCCTCCCTGCGCCACAACCCCAAATGTTGGTTGTGCACTTACGAAGCACCAGGTATGGTACTAAGTACTTCACGTGGATTATCTCCCTTTCTCCTCCAGAGTAGGAGGTATGTATGAATAGCCCCAATTTACAGAGGAATAAGCTGAGACTTGGAGAAGTTCTGTCCCTTGTCAAGAGCCACACAGTCAGAGGTGCAGCTAAGAGAAGCGCAGGTTTGACTGCAAAGTTGGGCTTTCAACCCCTGTGCTATGCTGCCATTGCAGACACTCAGCTTGTGCTCCAGCTGTGCCCAGAATCGGTAATTAAGTGCATGTTCACCTGTGTGATTACTCCGTTCATGTCCATCCCTCAATAGCTGCCCTGGGGTGGGGCAGTAAATGAATGCCTTTTGCCCACCTCTTCTCCCCAGGACCCAGCACCATGCCTGGCCCAGAGTAATTGCTCACTGAATACTTACTGATTGAATGAATAAGTGATTAAGTGAATGTGGGAGAATCACCCAGAGAAGCTGGTTAACCATTAGACTCCAGCCTCCACCTCAAGATTCTATTTCAGGAACTTGGAAGGGGGCATCTGCCTTTTAGGCAAGGACCTGGCCAATTCTGGTGCCCAAGGTCCACAGACCACCTTTTGAGAAACCCAGTGACAGGGAAGTGGACTTTTCTGATGATCAGGAAGGAGAAGTTAATATTTTATTCTGTAGGCACTGGGGAACCATTAAAGGTAACTGAGGATGGGGGTGGGAAGACACTCGGAGCTGTGCTTAACAAAAATGCATGCTGGCTGTGCTCATCTTCTTGCCTAGTGATGTCCTCTGCCCTCCCCACACCCCCAGACTTTTCTTGTCAACAAGACTGAGTCCAAACAAGAGGGATTCATGACAAACTTCACCAGGCTGCAGCACGGAAGGCTGGTGCACTTCTAGCCTTTTGCTGCTTCTCTGACAGCAGGCAGACCATTAGGGACTCCCTGCTCTTCCAAAATGGCTTGTTAGCTCATTTAAGCCCTTTATATGAGGCTCTCCTCTGCTGTAATTGGGCCTTCACTCTGTTGCGCTTCCTGGCCACAGAGCTTGTTAGCTGTCAGGCAAGGTTGTGAATTTGTGGAACTGCCAGCGAGGCTCATTTTTTATAGGCAAACTTGCCATGTCAGCCCCCATGAGACTTCGACAACCCAGGAATGTGCCCCATTGCAGGGCAGGAGAGGGGAGACAGGGTTCAACTTGGGATGGGGTGCGTGACAAAATGCTCTCACCCCGGGCTTCAGTGGGGCTCAGTTAGTTCTACGCACATCTGCTGAATGTGTTTAAGGCTGTCAGCCCAGCTACTGTGAGGGAAACATGACATCTTCTTCTAGTTCTAGGCCCCCTCCCCCTGCATGTGTTTTAGAAGACTCATTCGAGCAGTACATAAGCATGAGGGGAATAACCCTCTTGGCAGGGTGCGAGGGGCAGTGCTGGAATTAGAACCCAGCTCCTCTGCTGCCTGGTGGAGAAAGCCCATGCTTCCCCAGTCCTGGCCCAGTGGCAGAGGGGACACTGTGGAGCCCTGTGCCTATCTGGAACTAAATTTTGGGAGAGAATCCCATTGTACTTCACGTGGATTATCTCCCTTTCTCCTCCAGAGTAGGAGGTATGTATGAATAGCCCCAATTTACAGAGGAATAAGCTGAGACTTGGAGAAGTTCTGTCCCTTGTCAAGAGCCACACAGTCAGAGGTGCAGCTAAGAGAAGCGCAGGTTTGACTGCAAAGTTGGGCTTTCAACCCCTGTGCTATGCTGCCATTGCAGACACTCAGCTTGTGCTCCAGCTGTGCCCAGAATCGGTAATTAAGTGCATGTTCACCTGTGTGATTACTCCGTTCATGTCCATCCCTCAATAGCTGCCCTGGGGTGGGGCAGTAAATGAATGCCTTTTGCCCACCTCTTCTCCCCAGGACCCAGCACCATGCCTGGCCCAGAGTAATTGCTCACTGAATACTTACTGATTGAATGAATAAGTGATTAAGTGAATGTGGGAGAATCACCCAGAGAAGCTGGTTAACCATTAGACTCCAGCCTCCACCTCAAGATTCTATTTCAGGAACTTGGAAGGGGGCATCTGCCTTTTAGGCAAGGACCTGGCCAATTCTGGTGCCCAAGGTCCACAGACCACCTTTTGAGAAACCCAGTGACAGGGAAGTGGACTTTTCTGATGATCAGGAAGGAGAAGTTAATATTTTATTCTGTAGGCACTGGGGAACCATTAAAGGTAACTGAGGATGGGGGTGGGAAGACACTCGGAGCTGTGCTTAACAAAAATGCATGCTGGCTGTGCTCATCTTCTTGCCTAGTGATGTCCTCTGCCCTCCCCACACCCCCAGACTTTTCTTGTCAACAAGACTGAGTCCAAACAAGAGGGATTCATGACAAACTTCACCAGGCTGCAGCACGGAAGGCTGGTGCACTTCTAGCCTTTTGCTGCTTCTCTGACAGCAGGCAGACCATTAGGGACTCCCTGCTCTTCCAAAATGGCTTGTTAGCTCATTTAAGCCCTTTATATGAGGCTCTCCTCTGCTGTAATTGGGCCTTCACTCTGTTGCGCTTCCTGGCCACAGAGCTTGTTAGCTGTCAGGCAAGGTTGTGAATTTGTGGAACTGCCAGCGAGGCTCATTTTTTATAGGCAAACTTGCCATGTCAGCCCCCATGAGACTTCGACAACCCAGGAATGTGCCCCATTGCAGGGCAGGAGAGGGGAGACAGGGTTCAACTTGGGATGGGGTGCGTGACAAAATGCTCTCACCCCGGGCTTCAGTGGGGCTCAGTTAGTTCTACGCACATCTGCTGAATGTGTTTAAGGCTGTCAGCCCAGCTACTGTGAGGGAAACATGACATCTTCTTCTAGTTCTAGGCCCCCTCCCCCTGCATGTGTTTTAGAAGACTCATTCGAGCAGTACATAAGCATGAGGGGAATAACCCTCTTGGCAGGGTGCGAGGGGCAGTGCTGGAATTAGAACCCAGCTCCTCTGCTGCCTGGTGGAGAAAGCCCATGCTTCCCCAGTCCTGGCCCAGTGGCAGAGGGGACACTGTGGAGCCCTGTGCCTATCTGGAACTAAATTTTGGGAGAGAATCCCATATATTTTTCTTCTTGCTTCTTTGCTGACCTAAGTGAAGTGAAAAAGCTCTGCAAAGCTGCCTTGGACCAGGGATTTAGGTGAAAAGTGTATTCACAGGAATGAACGGAATCTTTGTCAAAGGAGAATAGAAAGGGATTTGTAAGAAGAGGGAAAGACACAGGAAGATTCTGCATTCTCAGGCTTGCCAAGGGCCTTGCAGACTTGAGTTAGGACAGATGAACAGAAGGCAAAGAGTGATGGTCAAGGCATGGGCACACTGGTCTCGGGGAGGAGGAGGGAGCAGGAGAGTAGATATCTATAGCTAGACTTCGCTTGTTCTTGTTATTCTGTGCCCATATCGCACCTAGCCCTACACCCTAGATCCATACTCCACCCTTCTCTGATCTGTTCTGTGCAGCCATGAGGCTGAGCCATTTGCAAGACGCCACCCAGAGGTTCCTTGCTGACTAGTTACCTGTTAGGTTTGGCTAGAGAGACACCAATAGAAGATCGGTGAACATGGAGAGAGACAGAGAGAGGATGGGGTGTGTCTTCCTCAGTCCCTCCCAGCTTTGGGCCACATTTCTGGAAGTTGCCGGATCCTTCCATGTTCCATCTGGTAGCTCTCTTCCATGGCTCCATCTCTCACTGGGCTCCTGCAGCCTTATGTCCTCCCCCTGCCCATGGGGGGTGATGCCTTCCACTGTTGCTAGACTTTGGTGCCTCATGGGTCCTGCTCACAGCACTGGGAGAGGCCCTTACAGTCATGTCTCTTCCTCTGCATCATCTCAGTTGGATTCTTTGGCCAGCTGGGGCCTGACTGATAGCGGGCCGCTGTTCCCTGGGCCTCGTCGTCTTGGGTATGGCTTTGTTCTAGAGGGTGAGCTGGGTGTGGCTTACGGTGGAGGGCTGGAGAGAGAAGCCTTGACACCAGCCCTCAGTGCTGGACTGGCTGGAGTCTTCAGAGGCCTTCTCTGGAGGGGCTGTGTGGTGCTCCTGCTTCTGGCAAGCCTGGTTGTCCTAGCTGGAGGTCTTTTGATGGAGGAGGCCCAGAGTCACCTATTGGGAAGACACAGTTGTTATTTATAATGTCAGAGTGACATTTCTGATAAGAAAGTCAGAGACCTGTTGAGGAATTTTGATATGGGAAACATTTCCCTTGAGGCCAGAAGCACAAGACAAGCAATTAAGGCAGAAATGGAGAAATGGCAGGTTGGTGGGGTCTGTACAGTGAGATGCCTGTGGGATGGCCTGATGGGGAAGGCCATTGGGGAGCAGACTTTCCTGCCTGGATGATGATTCTGGGGAAGCAGCTCATGTGGAGGCCAAATGAATCAAAGAGCCGAAAGTTCTTGGGCCAGAGGGGTGGAAGGTATGTCACCTGTGAAGTGTGACAGCATCTGCTCGAGGGGGAGGAGGGAAGCCAGGAATGAAAGAAATCTGCTTCTGTCCCTTATCCCACCTACCCTCTTAATGGGTGGGGCCAGGCACGGGGGCCCAGGATCCCGCTGCAGACACAGGTGGTGAGGCTCGGCTGGGGGCCCAGCCCAGAATACAAGGCACATGATAAGTTTGGTGCTGACTTTGTTATTTTGGACTGGAGTTTCTGAAAGATGGCGCTGCATCCTTTAACATTTTTCTTGTGTCTGATGAGCAGTATGTCAGCTATATTCAAGAGGAAAACTTCTTGGCCTCCAAGTTCGCTCTAGTCTTAATTGTCACACAGTTTCTTTAAATTATTTTTAATTTTTATTTGTGGTTACTTATTTAAAATAAAAATATAGTTGATAAATAATGTATTGGTTTCAAGTGTTGATTTGACAATTATATACATTGCTACGTGCTCACCATGGTAAGTGTAGTGGCTATTTGTCGCCATACAAAGATGCTACAATATTACTGACTATGTGTTACTGAGCTACCAAATATTTGCTTGTTAGCTGTCTGGAATGACCTAGAATAGACTGCTTGGGATTCATGACAGCAAATTCAGACGGCTGATGCTTTATAAAATGAGTTCCATTTTGGCCAAGTTGGTGGCCAAGCAAACTTCTGTACAGTGAATCCTAGCTCCCCACTACCTTCTATTATTAAGTCAGAGATGTGTTATCAGGAGGATTTAATGACTTACTGTGTGGACACAAAGTGTAACAAGGTAATGAACAAGATAATGAACTAGCAAATGTTCCACAGTCTGCCCCAGGGGTGTCAGGGCCTGTGGCCACTGACTTCTAAGGTTTAGGGTGATGTCTCTTTGCTTCTCTCTTACACCTGAGGAGAGCAAGACAGCTTCCCTCCACCACATATGTGGACCCTCTTCTGGGCTGTGAAGTAAACATCATCAGTGAAGGCCAGAAGGGACATTTAGGGGAGGAAAATGGCAGAATCCATTGCCCTGATGGGCTCTCCTGATTTCCAACTGGTGGGGCTCCTTGCTCATGGGGACGCTTGTCACGTCCCAGCTGAGAAATGTCTTTGCAGCATAACTTACACCAAATCTATTAGGAGGTGTAGGAATTACCTTCAAAGTACTGTCATTAAGTCACATCAGAGTCTTCTTCCTCTAATAACTGGACACACAATTTTGAGCGGCTATTGTAACATATTGTAATGGGTGCTGGGATGTAACAGAGAACATCTTCCCTCCAGACCTGCCCTCCTATGTTCTGCTCTGCTAGCTGGGACTGAGATGTAGCAGACCACATTTTCGCTTGGCCAATTGGTTTCCTATTGGGTTTTTCCAGTAGGGGGCACTAGAGGGAACCAGAAGGCGGGATTAGGGAGAAGAGACATGGTCTCCTGTTATCGCTTGTTGCTCCTGTAAGTGGCCTAGCCTGAGATCCCAGTCTCTTGGGACCTTTTCTGCTTTTATAGTGTCACCTTTTGGTCCAGCTGCCACAGGTAGTAAATGGGGTTTGGGATCCTCTCCAAAGGATGGGGGTCTCCTCTCCTCCCACATCTGCCTGGCAAGTGCCACAAATTCACTGGCTCTCTTAATTTGTGAAATCTCCTTGACTTGTCTGTGAAGAGCTCCTCAGAAACACCCTTCTCATTACAATGTTAAATTAAAATCTAGTAGACGAGGCACATAACAGAATAAACTTCCAATTAAAATATACACACTACGATGGTGAGGGAGACTGCAGAGAACTTGCAGGCATCTTTGCCGCAAATGTGCTCGAGATTTAATTTTACTATGACATCTCCTTGGAATTACACCGCTAATTGATCACATTGTGTCTGTCTGTTATTTAAACTTTCAATAAAACGGAGATTAATGGAAGGTGTAATCCTCCCGGGCAGAACAAATATTCCCATTGCTCATGTCAGGTACAGAAATGGAAATACTCTGCTAACAGCTTTCTGCATTCAATCTGCGAACATGAAGTTAATCATGAAAAATGCAATGATTCTTTAATTGCTTGAATGAAATTTTTTCTGGCTGCCCCATTTCTCACCCAAAATAGCTGCCCTTG